GGAGTAGCGAGCGACTACAGTGTCGTACAGTGCCTGCGCTGTCCTGTGCTGTCCGAAGTGAGCGCATTCAGTTAATGGCAGGTGGTTGCGGATGGCTAAGCGGGCAGCAGCGTCACGAGTAAGCCACTGTGAGCGAGACGAGCTGTCAGCTCTGGCGGGAGGGGCAGTAGCAGCGCCTGACACTAGGTCAAACAGCGAGACACTGTCCTTAAAATCGCTCAGTAGGTACAGCTGCAGGTCGTCTAGCCACGTGTCAAACTGAACCGGTCTGCCCTCATGATCAAACGCGAGAACCCGAAGCGAAGCCATAGCTGTGCAGCACGCAGGATTGCAGGAGCAGCAGTAGCAGCAGCAGTAGCAGCTGTAGCAGGAGCAGCAGTAGCAGCTGTAGCAGGAGCAGCAGTAGCAGTAGCAGCAGCAGTAGCAGCTGTAGCATCTGTAGCAGTAGCAGCAGTGACAGTGGGGCAAGGGGCGGACGGGGTCGGGCGCGGGCTAGGGACGGGGCCGGGCGCGGGCTAGGTACGGGGCCGGGCGCGGGCAGGGGACGGGGCCGGGCGCGGGGCTAGGTACGGGGCCGGGCGCAGGCTAGGGACGGGGCCGGGCGCAGGCAGGGGACGGGGCCGGGCGCGGGCTAGGGACGAGGTCGGGCGCGGGTTTGGTACAGGGCCGGGCGCTGGGCTAGGGACGGGGCCGGGCGCGGGGCTAGGTACGGGGCCGGGCGCGAGCTGGGTACGGGGCCGGGCGTGGGCTAGGTACGGGGCCGGGTGCGAGCCGAGGGACGGGGCCGGGCGCTAGAAGGTACGGGGCCGGGCGCTGGCCGCGGAACTGGTGCCGGGCGCGGGGCTAGGTACGGGGCCGGGCGCAGGCTAGTAATGGGGCCGGGCGCGGGCTAGGTACGGGGCCGGGCGCTTAACTAGGGACGGGGCCGCGCGCGGGGCTAGGTACGGGGCCGGGCGCGGGCTAGGAACGGGGCCGTGCGCTGGGCTAGGAACGGGGCCGGGCGCGGGCTAGGTACGAGGCCGGGCGCGGGCGTCGACGGGCCGCGGGCTAGGAACGGGGCCAGGCGCTGGGCTAGGAACGGGGCCGGGCGCGGGCTAGGTACGGGGCCGGGCGCGGGCGTCGACGGGCGCGGGCTAGGAACGGAGCCGGGCGCTGGGCTAGGAACGGGGCCGGGCGCAGGCGTCAACGGGCCGCGGGCTAGGTACGGGGCCGGGCGCTGGGCTAAGGGCCGATGGGGCCGGGCGCGGGCTAGGAACGGGGCCAGGCGCGGGCTAGGGACGACGGGCCGCGTAGGCTAGGAACGACGGGCCTAGGGGCGACGGGCCTAGGTGGTAGTACTAGCAGCGTAGCAGGTGGTGGGCCCAAGGAACCTGCTCTGATTCCATGTCGAAGTAACGAACGAGGATGAATGAACTATGAAAGAGTTGGGTACAAGTACTAACCCTAATTGGGTTGTACCCCTTATGGGCTACCCCACTACAGCCTACACAAATGTATAAGCTGTAATGTTCTGACAGGTGTTACCGTCCACGCAGGTCCCAACACGCTCAGAAGGAAGAAACATGCCGCCGACGTGGCAGTCCTGAAGGTATCCGACACCCACCAAGTTCCTAGAGAACGAGGGGATGTGGAGACCAGTGAGGACACCAGAGGAGACAGCCGGGCATGGGAGAGTTGTAGAGCTACGTGCAACTGCTTGTCCTGAAGTAGGTTCAGCAGTGCAACCGGAACCGGAGCAAGAAGTGGAGTGAGATTCGTGTGGTCGCAAAAGAAGCACTGAGACGCGCCAAATTCCATCGTGAAAGAGAGCAACGCGTCAGCTGCAGGTGCATCTGGGCTAGTAGCTACACAAGCACCTAGACTGGAAGCACAAGCACCTACACTAGCAAGAGGTAAGGATCCAGCAGCTCTATAGTCAACATAGGTATACATCACAGAAACAGAGTCAAATTCATCAACTAACTCTACCGCAGACATGTTCCACAAAGCAAGTCCACGAGAGCAAGCAACCGGGGCCCAGTCCGGAGCAGGGTCGTAGCCGTACTGGGCGAGGACGCAGTCCATGAGCTGACCTGGAGTGTGGAAACGGCCACATCGATGACCCTCACGAGCGCGCATCTGAACTACGTACGAGCAGGGAGGCAAAGTGACACCGCGCACGCCGAGCTGGGAGGTCCACCGCCACGACCAGTGCTCCCTGGTCTACCAGGTCCCTATTGCAGAGGCTGCTGCTACACTTGCCTCTGAACCTGCTGCTGCGGCTGTCCCTACTGCTGCGGCTATCCCTGCTGTAGTTGCTGCTACTGGGACTGCCGCAGCGGCTGTGCCGTGTACCACGCAACTCCACCGGCACCCCCTGCCGTCGGGCCCGCAGGCCCAGGACTGCCTCTAGTGCCGCCTCCAGCAGTGGCACTAGTACCTCTGCCACCCCTGCTACCACCACCAGCACCACCACCCTTCCCCCCTTTCTTGCCTTCCCCGCCCCAAAGCCGCCCAGCCGTGGTGGACATGGCTGCAGTCTCGTCAGAAGCAAAAGACGCAGTAGAGGCAAGAGAAGCAGTGAAGATGGGAAGCTGTGGGATTGTGCACCCCTGAAAGAGCGGGGGAACTACGGCACTAGAAGCAGAGGCAACAGAGCGGATGTTGCTCTCGATGTCCTTGAGCTATTTCTCAAAGACATCGATAGTGAGTGCACTAGGATGCTTCCGAAGAAGCGCGTCACAGACAGGTGCAAGACGGTCAGGGAGGCTAGTGACGATGAATTGAATAGTGATCGCCATGGGCGGGGGGAGTAGGGCAAGCTCATCCTCAGTACAAGTAGCACGATAGCTGGCGTCTAGCGAGCGCAGATGGGTGATAAGGTCAGCAGTGTGGTCAAGTGTTCATAGGCCGGGAAAGAGAAATGGCATATAGAGGCTACCAAGAGAGGCGGAGGAGGGAGTTGAATAACGGGTCTTAATCGCAGCGAACAAGGCTATGGCCAATAGAACCTGGGAAAAATGAGCCTCCTTAGTCTCGGGGAGAAGACTGTCGAGTGCAATGCAAGCCTCCGCGTCACGAACTGCCACACCGACAGAGCTGTACATGCCTTATCGAAGCGCTCCTGGTCCGCCTCAGTAGGCTCAGCACCCAGTGCAACAGGGAGGGGAGGCTCAGTCAGGTCAGCAAAGGCGTGTGCCCAGAGTGTATCATTTTCCTGGCGCTGACTCTGGAGAAAACGCTCAGCTCGAAGGAGCCAGGACGGGAAGTCTAGGGCTCTACCCTCCGCATCAAAACGCAGGACGCGAGTGGACGCCATAGCGAGAGAGCTACTGGTCTACGAGCGCAATGTTAGGAACGGCCGGAGCTAGAAACGGGCAAGGGACTTACAACGTCAGAAGAAACGGGCTAGGAACGGACAAAGCGAGGAGCGATCTAAGCCAGAGTGGCGAGGCAAGGAGAAGCGGAAACTAATAACGAAAAGTGTCCTGAGGGCTAAGAGTACTAGGCCTCACTAGGTACATACCCTAAGCTGCGCCAGTGGAGTTGACTAGGGATGCCAATGGCAGGAGGTGTGGGGTGGGTACTGAGGGGCCGTAGAAACGGGGGCCGAGGGGCCTTAGGACGAGGGGCCGCAGGGCCTTAGAAACGGGGGCCGATGGGCCTTAGGATGAGGGGCCGCGGGGCCTCAGAACGAGGGGTCGTGGGGCTGCTGCGGCGCTCGCGGCAGCTGCTGATGTTGTGCGCGTGCAGCTGCCGGTGCGTGCGCGGCTGCAGATGTTTGGGACAGGACAGGGCGGGGCAGCCCGAAACGGGGCGGCAGGTGCAGTGCGCCGGACCGCGGTTGTGCGGGTAGCGGTGCGCGTGCGGGTGCTGCAGCGCGTGGCCTGAAGAGCGTGTGAGTGTTGTTGCATGTGCGTGCGGAGCTGCTGCTGCGTGCGCGAGTGCTGCTGATCGTGCGCGCGCTGCCGTGCGTGCACGTGCTGCTGTGCGTGCGTGAGGGTCGTTCAGCGCAGGCAGCGCGGGCAGCGCGAACGGGACGAGATGGGGCGGGTGCCGCGCGCTATACGAGACGGGGCGGGTGTCGCGCTACAGACAGGTTTGTTCGCCTTGCGCTGGGCTAGGAACGGAACCCTTCTCGATTGAAATTTGCCGCTTGTAATGCCAGTGAGCTTTCAAAGCGCATCCTCATGGTATCCAGAGCAAAGCATTCCAGATTGGTGCTCCACACGACTCCACTGAACCGAGGCAGCGTGTTTGCCTTACGTGTTGCGCGCTCAAAGAAAAATTCTGGCCCGGCACCCCCCAAGCATGGTACGTCCCTCGGAGCACACGATCACGCCCAACCGCAGTCAAGCAGGGAGGCAGGTAAGAGGCGAAACATGGTAGGCTCGCTCGCAGGGATGGACGCAGCGCATGGGGGGTTGTGGCTGCAGAAGGCGCCAGCTCCTCAGTTGTAGCGTTCTCACAACCTCCCTCCATCCCACTTCTCTCGTTCTAGAAATAGCCTAAACAAGGGGCCACGAAACTACCAAGTATTTAGCGCATCCGTCATTCACGACTGAAAGGGGTCTCGGCTCTGGGTCAACTGCAGCACACGAGAATCTCGATAGGCTCGTCTCTGCTAGTGCCATGGCGCGGGCTACCTTGCTCCTTACCCTCCTGCTTGTCCTCGCCTGTGAGTTCAACGGCCTCAACTGACTTCGCTTTAGGCTTGTCCCGATGCAATTCTTGCTCTTGTCATTTACAGAATTGCTTCTCGCGTGTAGCGCGCACGGATTCATAAAAAGTAAAGGTTTTGTGGTATATATTGGCGCGTTTTTTTTTCATGAATCGTAGGATACGATATTAATGTAAAAGCTCTGAACTCCTCTCATCTACCTCCGAACTCGCATTATCATTACCTAATCCGCTCTCCGTGCCCTCTCTTTCGCATCATCCCCCTGCCTCTTCCGCAATCCCGTGTTCCCCGACTATCCTGCATTTTCCGCAACTACTTCTGGCCACCGACTTGCGCGCAGGCTTCTACCTAGCTGAGGTATGCCTTCCCACCCGCTCGTTTCTCCCCCATACCATATATTCTCCCTTTCCTTGTATTCTCCCATAGCGTATGAAAACGCGTGCATTAGCTAGCTACCAGCCATTGTTTCGCTCGACGTGCTCGATTAAATTATTTGAATCGTATCCGCCTGGGCACTTGCATCTCGCGGGTTCATTGCTGCAGTGCCAATTCATGTTGGAATTCATGATGGTGGTGGTGGACGTGGATTCTGAGAGCGCTATTACAATTAGTGTTAATCGTACATCCCTCTTACTCGCCCGTGGACGTTCATCTGGCTGGTGTGTCGATGCAGGGCAAGAAGGTGGTGGTGGGCGGGAAGCGGAAGGCGAGTCCGTGGCAGTACAACGTCATCAACTGGAAACAACCCACCGTCAAAGCTGGAGACGTCCTCGGTAAGGCCAACGCACATGGCAAAAGCCGCGGTGTAGAAATGGCGCCACGGGTAGGCTCTCAGGCCGTCGTGCTTAGAAATTCCCATCAGCGAGCAGTGTAGCGACTCACAGCGTAGGACGCTCATTCTCGTCTCTTTCTTCGTGAATCGGTCGATCATTTCTCCCCACTTTCCTCCCGTCTCCTCTTCCCCACCAACCCTCCCATTTCCACCGAACCTCCACCCACTCTTGACCCACACTCTCCCCTCACGTGCATCCCCGCGACAGTGTTTCGGTGGAGGTTCCTGCCGCACGACGTGTGGGTGATGAACTCGCAGACCGCCTACGCCAACTGCGATTTCTCCGCCGGTAGTTCCACCAAGAAAACGGGCATCTCCGTGACCGGGAAATACAAGTAGGTTGCGTGCCTCCCCCATTCTCTCTCTCCCTCTCCCTCTCGCTCGCCCTCGCCCTCGCCCTCGCCCTCGCCCTCGCCCTCGCCCTCTCCCTCTCCCTCTCCCTCTCCCTCTCCCTCTCCCTCTCCCTCTCGCTCTCCCCCTATCGCTCTCCCTCCTTCCCACTCGTTCTCTCTCCTTCCCTCTCGCCCCCACTTATTTATCTCCCTCTCACATGACTGCTAGTGTATGTGCGTGCATAAACACACGCGCCTGCGTTTTTACTTGCATATGTGTGTTCAATTCGTTTTGTCCGTATTTTATGTCTGCGTGTTCAGGTTCAAAGTGCCAAGTACAGCAGCAGGAACCACATTATACTTTGGCTGCAGTGTACCAGGGCATTGTTCAGCAGGGAAGATGAAGGCTGCTATTAAAATCAGTGCTGCATGATTGCTGTTCTAGGCGCTATGCTTCCCTTGTAGCTTTTTCTTGTAACTAAACTTCTTATTTCTATGTTAGTATGAAACATGTTCGACCTGAATCCGTTCGTGTGGGAGCAATTCGCTAGTGGTTGGATGTTGTGACAGATGAGCATTCAGTAGGGGTTCAATCTGCTTTGCCTCTTGGCGTGGTTCAGTGCGGTCGAATATCGAACTTCATATTAGCATCCTTATTCATGTGATGTGATTCGTCGCGACTCACCGGTTGGCGGGCTAGGGAATGTCGAGTTGCAGCCATGCTAACTACAGCACGTGTTGTCGCGCACAAAGGCTGCACGATTTACTGTACGTTGATTGGCTTTCGGTAGTCGCAACGCTGCTTGACGGCGGCAGGCGAACTGCGCGCATGGGGACTAATTGTGAGCGGCGGGGCCAGCCTGCCACGTGGCGTGTATACGTTTCCGTGGCGGCTTCTGCCTTAGCGTCATTCGAGCCTGCCTTATGACCCTCCAACCAAACCGACTTTCAAGCGGCAAGAACTCGCACATGCTCCGCACCGCGCGATGTGTTGAACGTTGATTGACGGCAAGAAACCCACAGCGTGCGCCTTTCCGCCGCGCGTCTTGTGCGCGGCCCGTCTTTGAAAGCTATCTGCAGTGATGCGTCAGGGAGAGTTAGTTGCGCCATGGCCGGCGCCGACAAGGCGTCTCCTTGCGCCAGACGCGCCGTGCTTCCGACAATCAGACCGTCGGCGTCGTCACCGCCCTCCGTTCGTCGGCGCCAATTCGCCTGTTTACGAGTTATCGAGCGCAGCTAGTGCGCCCTTCCGCACGCCCTTTCTTGCTCCCTTCCGTGCGCCCTTCCGTGCGCCGCGCGGCTATTTAGTCGCTCTGCTGAGCGACGCTGCCACATCGCACGCAGTTCCCCGAAGTTCCGGTGAAGCCACATCAACTTACGCAATCGTAGTCGCAGTAGCAGACTCGAGTCGAATCAATCCAGACCTCCTAGCCCGGTGTCCCCTCTCAGATTTGCCTCCGACAGTTTCCGTGCTTTACGGTACGTCTGATTCGCGGCGCCACCCGTTACAGTGAAGTCGCGTCCCGCGCGATTCGAGGGTCGAGATGGTGAGGCTCAATCTACTCGGCGCGTTGCTGCTCCTCGCGCTGCTGTGTAAGTGAAGTCTCGTGATGTATGATTTTTGAGATAGTATACTTAACCTTATGGTTGTTTAAGTAAGGTCTCGTGATGTCTCTCAAGAATAGTCTCGTGATTGCAAGTGAGTTGTCGACAGGTGGTCTGCTGCCCGTGCTCGCGTCCTCTCGCCACGATCCCTTCGCCCATCACGGGCCCTCGTCTTCTCAACCCCCCTGCCGTCCGTGAACCCTTCCCACGCCGCACGCTCCCTCTTTTACTCCCTTCCCCCATCCCTTCTTCCACTCTTGTTCCCCTCGCTTTACACCTTGCTGTTTCTCTCCTAACACTTCTTCGAATGCTCTCCTGCTGCCTTTCTCTTCTCTTCTCTGACCTATCTGGCCGCAGGTGTAGCCGACACTCAGGTACCCCCACTGCCACCACCACCGCAGCTGCATCCACCACTTCCACCAGCCAACCACGGCATGCACCTTCCGCCACACGTCACTGTTTTCCCTTCCTACCGTCGGCTTGTCTGCCTGCCTGCTTGCATCCGTTGCTTCCCCCCCACCAATCTTCTTGCACCTCCTTTCCCCCCTGCTAGAGTCTCTCCCTCAAACCCCCATTTTCTGTCCCCCCATCCCCATGCGAGCAGGCCAGGTCAGTGACGGTGGGCAGGGGGTGGTTCAGCCCGTGGTCGTACGGCGTTGATTCGTGGAAACCACCTGTTGTGAAACCAAGGGACGTGCTTGGTAAGCCCATGGCAGCCCATGTGAGCCTCTTCATCTGTCCCTTCCCCCCTTCACTTCATCCTCCCCTCTTCCCCACCTCATCCTCCCCGCCTCCCTCGACTCTCCTGGTCCCCTCTGCTTACCGCTTCGCTGTCCCCTGCTTGCGCCTCTTCCCCCTCCCCTCCTCATTCTCCCCCCCGCCAGTGTTCCGGTGGCGCATGGCAGCGCATGACGTGTGGCGGCTCAGGGACCTGGCAGCCTACACCAACTGCACCTTCGCCACGGGCAAGAGGCTCACCCCCGTCCGCACCTCCTACCGCTACAAGTGCGCTGCTGCCCGCTGCACACACCATTTCAACTTCTCTTGCACAACCCACCTATACCACCCTTCACCACCCTTCACCACCCTTCACCACCCTTCATCAGCCCTCACCAGCCTCCACCAGCCTTTGGTTTGTCTCGTTGTTTGTCTTATTTTTCGGGATTCCCTTCCATGCCTTCAGGGAAACACACATCCTGGGCGGAACTCGTCGTTTGACAATACTCGCTCATGTCGTTGCCTATCCTCATGTCGCTGCCCCAACCCTCAACTTCTATAAACCCTGTCAGGTACAAGGTGCCGGTGACAGCAGCGGGTACAACACTCTTCTTCGCCTGCAGCATCCCCTCCCACTGCAGTGTCTTCCGCATGAAGACACAGATCCCCGTCTCACCCTAGACTGACATCTGAAGCCGCCTGATCTGTGCCATCTTTAGCCTCCTGCAATGCACTAATCAGAGCGACCGTGCCACCTCATTGCAATGCCTTCTGCATGAAGACAAAGATCCCTGTCCCGCTCTACACTGCCATGTGAAGCCGCCTGCACCATGCCATCTAAATAAACCCATGACGCCATGCCATCTCATTAGTCACCACACCCACAATGAAGCACACGGGCACTGTTTCGCCCTGGAGCGCAGTTTCAGGTGCCTTCAGATCAGAGTCAACTGCAGCGTGCCATGCCGCCTCAACATGTTTCCTTGAGAACAGACACAGTGGTGAAGAGACTAGACCTCTTCTTGTTTGCAGTGTGTGCTGTTAGTTTCACCTGTTGGTCTCCTCCTTTTGTCTGTGCTCCCATAAACGCTTCGTATCGGAAAGGATAGAGGGAGCACTGCACGTTGATTTCCTTTTTGGAATATTTAAGGGCCATTTTGCATATGCTGCTGGTTGTAGCACTTCGATGGATTTTCTGTTATTTCGCAAACAAACAAATTGTAATGTGCTATTTAACATTTTCCATTCCAGCTGCACAGCAAGCTCTGGACACTTTCACAAAATGATAATTTTTGAAAGTGTAATGAAATGTAACACTTTCTAAAATTTTGTATTGTGAAAAGGGGTACGTGGCCAACACAGCAAAGGTAGCGTCCAAGCGCTACTCACTCTCTTTTGCCTACAAAAGAGGGACGTGGGGACATTCGTCCCCACCCACGTTTTCATTTCCGAAATTGTAGTTCTAATTTCGTTCTCGTCCACACTGGCGAAGACTCAGTCGCTTCCGCGCTTC